CCCCCCCCCAGCACTAATTAACCCCAAGCTCCGTTAATTAAAGCCTTCCGTTAAGCCTCTCCGCTTACCCTGGCGCAACCGCTGACGACGTAGGCGAGCTCGTTAGCGTTGAAATGATAATGAGGCTGGCCCAGCTCGTTAACGAAGATCCTTAACGTGGCCAACGTCAGCGAACGGCTCTCCTAGAAAACCAGAAGAAACAAGCCTAGAAAAAGGTCCTGGAAGGGGAAAAACATCCATATTCAGGTCCTGGAAGGTAAGAAAGAAAGATTGGAATTACCTCGTTAAGGGATCGGATGTAAATGAGCTCGTTTGGGTTCGCCGAGGTCCTGGAAGATCGATAAGGAGCCCATTGGAATTGGCCGCCTTGGAAAGGGTGGATTGGAGAAGCTGGGGAAAAAACAAGGGAAGGTCCTGGAAGGTTAATGAGTGGGGTTCATTAAGAGCCTAGAATGTTAATTAGGGGGAAATTTCCAACCCTAATTAAGTTACGGGGTTAATTAAGGTCTTGAAAGGGAGATACGTGGCTTTTTCCATCTCTAATGACCATATGAGGCTAATTAAGGTCCTGGAAGGGTAATTAGAGGTTCATCTTCAACATTAATGACTTTAGGATGCTAATTAAGGTCCTGGAAGGGTAATTAGGGGGAAATCTCCAATCCTAATTAAGCTATGGGGTTAATTAAGGTCCTGGAAGGGTGATCGGGGGTCTTCTCCGATCTTAATGAACCTCTGAGGCTAATTAAGGTCCTGGAAGGATAATTAAGGACTCATCTCCAACCTTAATGACTTTAGGATGCTAATGAAGGTCCTGGAAGGGTAATTAGGGGGAAATTTCCGAGCCTAATTAAGCTCCAGTACGTTAATTACCTCCGAGGTCGTAAAAATACCGCCAAACTTGAGTGTCTTCAGACTGCTGGTAATTAACGCTGTGCACTAATTGGCCCAAATTAGGAGGCAGGTTCACACTTTGGGCCTCCGGAAATTTCTGGAACGTTCGAATAAATTTCACTCCTCCACTCGGCTGCCAGGAAACAAAAAACCAATCAGAGGGAGCCAATCAGAAGCTTCGTAGCTTCCAGGACCCAAATTAGTGACTTTTTCCCCTTCCGGGACCCAAATTCACTATTTTTACCCTTCCAGGACCCAAATTCCCCATTTTTCTTCTTCCAGGACCCAACCTCCCTATTTTCCCCATCCAGGACCCAAATTACCCATTATTCCCCTTCCAGGACCCAAATTCCCCATTTTTCCCTTTCCAAGACCCAACCAATGCAATTTTTCACCTTCCAGGACCCAATTTCCCCCTTTTTCCCCTACCAGGACACAAACAACGCAATTTTCCCCTTCCAGGACCCAAATTTCCCATTTTTCTCCTTCCAGGACCCAAATTCCCCATTTTTCTCCTTCCAGGACCCAATCTCCCTATTTTACCTTCCAAGATCCAAATTCCCCATTGTTCCCCTTCCAGGACCCAAATTCCTCATTTTTCCCCTCCCAAAACCCCAATTCCCCATTTTTTCCCTTCCAAGACCCAACCAATGCAATTTTTCCCCTTCCAGGACCCAAATTTCCCATTGTTCCCCTTCCAGGACCCAAATT